CCAGGACCCTGAGACCAACTTCCTCTGACAGGCTTGTCAAAATATTCACTAAAATCCTAAACGTTTGTAGCTTCATTACAGAATAATAAAAAAAATTCAACAAAACGTGTTAAAATTAATATTCTCAGTAATTATTGTTAAGTTCCAGATCCATTAACAAATAAAAAGGGACTCAAAGTCAGACTGACGAGCAGAGCAGCATTTTAAATGAACTAAACTCATTTAATATTTGACTAATCAGCACATGAGCTGATCATGAGCTGATTAACTCATAATAACTAAATATCAAGCCTGGAAACCTGACATCATAACAGACTGAATGTTTTTAATGTAATCTTTACTTGGCTTGCGGGGTGAAGGCGGTTGCCATGGCAACATGTGTGTTCAACAATAAAGAGAGGAAGAGAGTAAAATGTAGAGTGGTTCTGATCACCTGCTGGGGTTATTTTATCTTTGATGACCTTTGCTGTGGTTCATCACAGCTGCTGTAGTTTCTGAACGATCAATAAACGACAAGCTTGTACTAATTACTAATTATCTCGTTCGTTTGCAGTAAAGGTGTCATAAACATCAAAAAGGACAAATATATTTTGAGTTTTAACAAACAAATGGCTTCTACCACGATAATTATGTGAAATTAAATTAATTATATTCCAGATTCAGTAGATTTACCTTTACTTTAACAGAGGTCTTTGTTCTCTTATCAATCTGCAGTTTCTAATATTGACGTCATCAAACCAAATTTCAGATCTACCATAACTGACTGACACCTGCTGGCCTCAGGTTTGCAACCAGCTTCTGACTGAGAAACCAGTGACCTGCTCCCAGTGTCAGAATCTCACTGAGGAAGAAACTGCATCAGCTTTTCTGTCACTTTATCATTTTTGATATAACTGATGTATATTTGTATAGAAAACGAGTCAATAGGGTTTAATTTACAATTTTTATGTCTTCGTGTCATGAGGTAGATCTCAGCCAGCTGGTGAGAGAAAAATTAGATCTTGGTCTCAAAAAGCAAGAAGTCTCATTTTAACATCATCAACATTGTTTTAATGACTGTGTTTGGTGCAGTTTTGGTTTGGTTTTCTCAGTGAAGTAACTCAAGTTGTGCAGAGTAGCCAGAAATCATCCTCAAGAGCAGCGTTGCTTTAAAATGACATTTCTCAAGTAAAAGTAAAAAAGATAAAACTATTCCTAGAAGTACATTTTTCCAAAAAGTTACTGAAGGTGAGGCCCATTAAGATTCAACACACAACAGAAAATACTGTCATATCAGGATGGAGCAGCTGCTGACCTACCAGGACAAGTAGACTGACAGGAATTCATCTGTAATAATGACCTAGTCAAACAACACAAATATTTCTGTTAAGTTCTTTATTATTCATTTTCTACAAAGTAAAAATATATCTGAAAAGTGCATCAGTACAATATTTGCTTGGCACATAGCAGGTGACATCGTTCCTCATTACGCAACATCAGTTTTTGCAAAGACAGATAAATCCAACACACAACTGTTTCCAAGTGACATCAGAAACATAAACATCACTTTATTACAATCCTACTGACATGACAAACACACTGATCTGAAACCTTGAACACAGACTGGCACTACAGATAAATCAGTCTTAAATATGGCTAATGGAGGTTCTCTGAACAATTGACTGAGAAAACAGTTTTTCGTGCAAAAAATAAATAAATCTAAATTATTAAACTCAAAGGCATCTCACATGCACAACAAAAATATTCCGTCACACCAATAACTTTCCAGGGTGTGAGCTATGAGCACCGCTCAAATGTCACATTGGTCACAAACTCATTATGGCTTTAAATTTCCCTTGGCTTTGTCAGAAAATAATGTGCTTTAAGCAACTATTTGGCAAAAGTTTCTAAAAATCACTCTAAACCATACATACTGCCTTTTGAAATATATCAAAAAGAATTTGGCACCAGAAAAAGAAGATATAAAAGTGTTGCATTGTGGATTCTTGATAAGAAAACAATAACTAATAAATGTATTTAAAAGAAAGTCAACATTATAGAAACACATTCAGTTAAAGAGAAAATAAAAAGTAACAAAAAACAATTTCCAAAAATGTTAAGGTGTTTTCAAAATCTTTACAATCATGGACTTATAAACACACACACTAATTACAATTAGGTACCTCCAAGACCGTGTAGATCTGAACCACAGTAAGGAACAGAATGAGGTCATTAACACATATCATATGGAAGAATGAAGATTAAATACATTCAAAAGCTTCCAGTGAAGTCAAACTCAAAATAAACACAGTTGTGAAGGAAAGCATCATCTACTTCAATCAAGCTTTATGAAATTTGATGAAATTTAACAAAAATTTTGGAGCTTTGTTTCAAAACAACTCCTGTGCTTTCATAGACAATTAAACCAGCATGAGATATGTAGCCATCAAACAGGTCAAGTAAAACTTAAGTAGGCTTTAAGACAAGCTGAAATGTAAAAATTACATGAGGCCAGCAGACGAAACTGTGATCCGCTGGCTGAGAAAAGGTTGTAGGAGTGACTTTAACACCTCCACAGGTCTAAACATCTCCAGGTTTCTACCTGGAACCTCAAACCATACAGATGGTTCTCACACATTCAGTCATTTCATGCAGATCTAGACTTAAAGCAAAACTGTGTCCTTTGATAACAGTTACATTCTTCCCAGTGCTGGAACTCAGAGCCAATGGGTCAGGGGGCTGGGACTGAAGCTGTTTGTTTCAATCAGTGATGCTGAACCTCTTCAGTGCAGAGAGGTCACTGAAGGTCACCTCTGCTACAGGCAACATGCTCACAAGAAATGACTAAATTAATATGTGTGAAAAAGAGTGTAGAAAACCGAACTGAATGTGTCAGTGTGTTGGTATGGACACTGAGCTTCATCATGTAGAATACATGAACAGGAGCTTTAAATGCCGTTCCCTTGCTATCAGAATATAGTAAGTGGAAAACTATGTGAACCAACCCATAAAAGCAGTTGTTCTGCTGAGAGGTTATGAGTTATTAAAATTGTCCTGCACTCAAACACCTCCAGACCTTTACAGAGTGAATGTTTGATCTTCTGCTTGTTAACATGATCCGTTATGGTGGTGAGAAGCTCCGGCTCAGTTCGCCCCATAGCCAGCTGGGAGCTGCATGCATGCAAATGCATCATGGCGTTCCAAATGTGGCTCCCTTCAGCTGACCTCCTGTACTAACTGGAGAGCAAGTTTCCTAACAGCAGTTTATAGCAAATAATCTTCTGTTAGAGTGAAATTTGTCATTTGTAATTAAAGTTAGTTTCTTAACAAAAATAGCCAGACTGAAAACAACCAAAGTTGAAATTGTACAAAATGCCAAAGGGGGAAAATGTCCAGAGCTTTCTGTGGTAATGCCACATCAAATACAACAAAATAGACCATGTTAGTATATTCAGCCAGTCGCCTTAATACAATTGTGAAAACGCTTTAAAAATTCAGGTAAATATTGTATAATGACAATATGATAATACAGACTGATGTTATAAATATCAGTCTTCATTACAACTGACCACATAATTTATTAAAAATGTGAAAGTTGTATGATGGTTCATAAAAAAATAAATCTAATGAATTGGTCTAAATGTATTTAAAATTGAGATGTTTGATACTGTAGGAATCTGCTTTGGTTTTAGATGAGCTGTTAGTTTCAGCCTCTGGGAAAAAAATTATATCGGGCACCAAGTTATCTACTGAAGATAGAATATTATTACTTATAACCTCTCAACAGAACCCTATAGAAAACAAATACTACTAGATTGAATTGTTTTTAAAGAGAAACTGTTATTATTAAAGCAGATGTTTTTTTATATTTATTGACACATTCAAGTCAAGTTTCAGTTTGAAAAGAAATGATGATTTATGAAATGTTAAAAAATTCATTGAAGACAGTTAACAATTTGCTGCCATGTTGTAAAGAGCTGATAGTTTTTTTCCCCCACATTATTTCAGTTCAATCTGAAAAGGTATTAGAAATCTTATGGCCATAATGATTATACTGATCAACAGAAATGTGATGTGGAAAGTATGAATATTGTGTGCTTTCAGCACTGACAGCTGATCTACACATGAACTCATTAAGACTGCTCTTCATCCTCAAAGTTCAGGGTTGAGTGTTAGAAACGAAACGCTACACAAGCCAAAGGAAAACATGAAGAAACGAGTAAAATAGTCCAGGTTGTTTTTCCATCTGCTCCATTTTCTACTTCATTCCAACTTCTTCAACAAACAGCAGCCACTGTGGTCATATTGTGCAAGAGCAAGGTCCAGAACCACGTATCTTCCTGCCTCACACTCCAGAGTCGCTGTACATCCCATTGATCAGGTAGTCGACTTGGGTGTAGTCCTTCCTCCTGTAGCTCTCGTACGCCTGCGTGACAAACACCGCCACCGTGACCAGGAAGAAGAGCATGCCAAACAACAGGACAGCTAGTAAAGAAGCTGTGTCCACCAGCTGCTGGGTCAGAGCTGCTCCAGCCACTTCCACCACCGGAACCCTTGTTGCAGAAGCAGGGGACTTACTGCGGCCACCAGAAGTACTGGTTCTGCTAGGAGGCATGGCTGTGGCTACTGTGCTTAAAGATGTGTGTGAAAGAGTTGATTTCCTGGTAGCTAACTTCTGTGTGGGTACCACAGATGATGATGAACTTTTCTTGTCTGTGGGCAAAATGGTGATCATCGCATTCGTATTTGGAGGGTTTTCAACTGTTGTTGATGTTGTACGTGTCTTGGTGGGCAGAGATGTTAAAATATGAGTTGTAGACGCTGGTTTGGTGGGTGGTAGGGTTGAAGTTTGAGTTGTAGACGGTGGTTTGGTGGGTGGTAGAGTTGAAGTTTGAGTTGTAGACGGTGGTTTGGTGGGTGGTAGGGTTGAAGTTTGAGTTGTAGATGGTGGTTTGGGTGGTAGGTTGAAGTTTGAGGGTAAGAGGTGTGCGGAGTTGAAGTTGTTTAGTGATTGTACAGAGAGTGTTTTGGTGGACAGAGGTGTTGCTGGAGCTTCAGAAGTTGTTTTAGTTGATTGTAAAACAGTTTGAGAAGTCTCAACATGCTCTCCAGGTGGTGATGGAAGGGGGTTCTTAGCTGAACTATTACTTACAGACTGAGCACTTACAACAGTTGTGGGTAAGGAGGTGGATGACAACTGCTGAGATTGGTCTAAGGATGTTTTATTGAAGAGGATTTTAGTCAATGTATTACTTTTATTGCTTTTTTCCTCAGTATCTACTGCAGCACTGGACTTTGAGAAGCCTTTAGTTGTTGCAATCTTGCTTGTTGTTTCATTACCTTGGAAACAAAGAAAAAGACTGTATGAAATGTGCTTGGATGGAATGCCAGTAGCAGTACACCTTACAGCTATTCCAACTGCATCCTGTGGTGCAGTTGGAGTCTGCTGCATTGAACTGGACTTGAGGATGCTTACCTGACTCAGACGCAGGTAGCGCTGTGAGGTAGATGCTGGAGAGGAGCAGCAGGATGCAGAGGAAGTGAACACACACCGATGGCCTCAGCTGGAGCATCAAGGAACAAAGGTTCATGGTGGACTAGAAGAGTGAGCCCAGACAGACACACACATAAAAGACTTGACTAGTTTTAAAGTGATGTTACCATCTAACCTCTACATCCACAAAACCAATCAAAATGAGAGCATTTATTGATTAAGATTATTAAAATTACTGTCCAAGTAAATAGGGCCACGCTGCCTACCAGCAAGGTTACCGTTTCTAAACTGCACAAGTTGATTGGTTGGCCATGTATTTTGGCTATTGTATCCTGATACTCAGGTGGTTCGGTTTTTATGTAAATGACTAATTTTGTTAATAATCATCTATGACACTAAATACTAAACCTATTGTTGGAAAAATAGAAAGGATCTGTTCCCCCAGTACTGCTGTAATCTTTAGCATCTCGGTCACCAACATCTGCATCAGGTATGAACATCTACTCCAAGAAAAATCCATCCAACAGGATAAATATTAAACTGTAATGAAATAGAAGGGTGAATTCATAGCACTTGCAATAAATTAGCCAACACTATACTGTGCACACTGATGTTGTGATAAGGATATATTTGCCATAAATTGTGCAGCCAAGGAAGCAACTTGTGCTATTTTTATGGATCGGCTACAAAACACAAAGTCTGTGTTCAAGTGACCTAGTTTCTAATAACGTCTGGGAGTACTGAACCAATATTTGCTAAAAGTTATATATGATGTTAACAGCAGATGTACCATGAAGCAGGCTCACCAAAGCCAACAATGGAAACTGTGACAGGTACTTATCTTGGTAGGTACTGGCAGACGTTTCTAAGATCAGAAAAAAAGTCAGTCATGTTCTCTGTTCAATTACTTCTGTCTGGAGTATGTGATTTTACTGATGGTGAATAAATGCATTAATCTGCATGGAAGAACACCAAGAGGAAGCTACGTGTCATGTGTCCAAAGGCTGGAGAGGGAACAGCAGAGCAAATTACAGCTTGTCACTAATATCTCTCCTGTCTCATTAAGCCTCCAACAGGATTTCTATCTTCTTCCATCTATGGATGAACAGTTACAAAGACAAAATATCCTAGGATTAATAATAATTCATTTTAAGAATGAAACTACATTTAAAATCATACTGTTCAACATTATCACTGCATTATAATTAACAACCACAATAATAATAACAGAAGACGGTGAATGGTGATAAGCATATTTTGCTGCTGCTTTCACCATTAATGAGTAGTTACCTTCATCCTCAAACACTTTTTGTATAAAAATATACAAAGCCATGATATACAAAGCAATATTGAGAAATGTGATCAATTTGCACACAACAATCACGACAATTTTTATATGATTGTTTTTAACTCTGGAACAGACTCCTGGTCCCCAAAGAAGACTCCATGCAACACTATGCAGCCACCACCATGTTTCACCATAGAAATGCTGTGTTCAGGTAGTGTCCAGTGGAAGTTTCTGTCCCACCTTGCATTTTACATGCAGCCTTGTAGCACACTTGAAATGGTATTATTTCTGCACATTTCTTTTTTCAACAATGCCATGAACATTGCCACTTAGTGCCAATAAAAAGTATTCACCCCTTTAGATGTTTAACCATTTTGTTGCTTTTACAAAACCATCATGATCAACAAAATTTGGTGAAAATGTTTAATGGGTAAACATTAAACATTTCCCTAACATGCACATGATACTACTGTACATGTTGGGTATCAGACAACTGATACTTTGCTACAGTAGCCAAATAAAAACTATCGTAATCATCCCAGAGAGTCCACTGACTTCAGAACCACTGTAACAGACTGGCAAAAGGCAGGAGAGGCAGTTCTCTGTGACAGAGGAAGACCAAGCTCAGCTGTAATCTTCTGCTTCAGTGAGGCTGTAAAGCAGAGGCAGTCTGTCCAGCCTAACAAAGCGACCTGCCCTCAAGGTAAACTAACAGTCTGGGAGCCTCCCTGGCCACGCAGGCAGCCAACGGGGACACTAAACTCTCTTTTTATTTTTAATACCAGATAGAACTATAAAACAGCAACTCGCAGGATTGTGAGTTGCTGTTTTAGCCAACATCCTCACAGTTAGTTAGCTCATGCTAACGACACCGTTTAATAGAATATTATCTAGAGAATTCAGATGAATTTAGACACTCACCAGCGAGGGAATAAAGTTGGTTTCCAGAAGACAAAACCTCCCATAAGCTTCAGCTAACAACAGGGAGCACGAAACACCTGGTGTCTTGTCAAATTCCGTCACTCTTGCTTTCTGGGAACCAAATACTGCAGGAATGTCAAACGACTGCCCGTACAAAGAAGACAAAAAACAACAACAAAAACAAACTTCAAGTCTTGAAATGTGACAGAGGTATGTCTGGGAGCAAAAGGGGCGAAACAGTATGTAAATTAAGTGATGCAGGGAAGAAAAATCGCCATAATCAACTCACAAACACTGACTGGACAGAGCCCTCTGGTCTCTTCTTCCTTATTTTTGTTCCGGTGGTGCTCAGTCAGGTGCTGCGTTCTACTGCCCTCTGCTGTTTTTGTAACAATCAAATAAATATCCCCTAGAACTGGGAAATTGGATCATACAGAGGCCCTAGATTAATTCTCATTTGATTTAACTATGTTCTAATTTTGCTTTTGCTTTTTACTGTACAGCACTTTGTGGGCAATATCTTGAAAAATTCTATGTAAATGCAGTCTTACTAACTAACCAACTAACCAACTAACTAACTAACTAACTAACTAACTAAACGGAGATCATCAGCCAAATTTATAAATAGCCCAGGAGAAAAATAAATATGCTAAGCATGTTCAATTTTAGCATACTTGAGCATACTTGAAGCCAGACTAATCATCAATATACTTGTAGTGTGTTATTTTTGAAGAATTTTAAGTGTATTTTAACAGCAATTAAATTGTATAAAATCACAATTTAAAGTGCACCAAATGTATTATCACCTACTTTTATGGAACAACTAAAGGTATAATTTGTTTACCTTAAGTACACGGCTTTTTATGTAATATAAACACACTTGATTAGCATATCTTAAGTGTACTATTTTTGTGATTGAATTACATTTAAAATATATTTAGAAGCATTATATGTCTTATGTATTAGCAGTGTGATCACCGTATACTCCATTTACACTTTTAGTTTACTATGATCGCTAATGAAGTACACTTTTACTTTTCAGTTACTTTATGTCTTTTATTATTATTCTTTGCCATAGTACATTACTTGCTTCATACACACTACAATACTACAAACCCATCATGCTACAGAACACAGTATTGGATCAATTAAACACACTGCAGGTAAAAAAAAATTACATTGTGCTTTCAATATATTCACATTTTTCAAGAGTGCATTGTCAATATGCTATCAGAGAATTGTACAAACATTCTCTGATAACATTAGCACAATAAAACAAAAGGTACACTTTAGTGGAAATGTGAAAAATATTTCACCAAGAGCAAAGTATTGTTTTCATTGAGTATCAGTATTTCAGTTTTACTCCAGATAAACTGACATTTCTCCTTCCTGAGAGCAGTGAGGATCAGCAGAACATTCCCATTCACTGGACCACTGCACTTTACAGAAACGTACAAAAAGAAAATAATAGAGAAATTAACCATAGTATTGTATTTTAAAGAGTACAGAAAAACAGCAAAAAAAAATAAATAAATAAAAAATGACCAAACATTTTAAGACATTGTGGACTTGCTATGTACATAGTGTCATCAGAACTGATGATTATTGGGACCGGGTGCCTGGGGTGAAAAAATATTTCTGGGTCTCTTCTTTGCCTGTTTATGTGAGAAGTAGAAAAAGAGACAGCAATATCATAATTGATATAAGTTGAAGTTGGCATTAACTATGAAGTTATTTTAAGTTTGGACTTAAGGGAGACAAACTACCATGGATGGATCAAGGTTTCCATCCATGATCTGAACACGCTGATCTTTGCAGGGATGTGAGGGGAGCAAGTGGTACCCAGCTCCAGCAGTCAGGAAAAAAGAAAGCACAGATTCTCTATTATTCTAAAGTCTTATGCATCAGGACATAAAATTCATCAGTCAAAAAAACTTGACCTCGGTTAACTTGTGTGCAAAACATCAAAATATTCTACATTGCTATTAATTAGCAAATGAACTCAAAGACATATGGAAAAACTGAGTGTAAAAAATGATGTAAATCTTTGCTGCTTCTATAAAAGACAAAGCAGACAGATGCTGCTAACTGAACTCATTGGATTAACTCTGCATGTCAAATTGACTCATTTTCATGTTTCAAAATCTAAAAAAATTGTTAAAAGTATTTTTTCATGTTTCTTCCCCTTTACCTCACTAGTAAAGTGTGAGACGACAGGTGTTGTGAAGTCTTGACGGGAACCTTTTCTATTCCCATGGACAAACCAAGTCCATGTTGAGTGGACACAGCAGAGGAGGGTTAAACATATAAATGCAGTGAAGTCCTAAAACACACTGAATTCTATAGTTGTTTTCAGACTGTCAGTAAGCGGCTACCAGCAGGAATAAAAAGGTGATAGTCCTGAAGTGTGAGCAGCCATCAGCATACTGGTCAATTCTAAATTTGGTGGTTCTGATTATGAAACAAATTATGAAAACACTAGAATTAATTTTCATTGTGGTTTCTTTTGTTTGTTTGTGCTTTGGTTTTTTTTGTTTGTTTGTTTTTTTTTACATTTACAAATTCATTATCATTGTGAAAGTCTATCATTTGAAGACTCACTATTTGCTTCATACACATGCAGGAAGAGGTTTGAATCCTGCAGCTTGCAGAGTGAAACGGGGACACGTCAGTCAGACCAGCCTCCGTTCTGAAGGTGAGACAGCCAATTACATACCGTCGTTGTAGTGCTCGGAAGGGGGCGGGGGGGGGGGCATCTGGGAGGAGAGAGGAGAGGATGTCCTGCACGTACGCAGACACGCGCGCGCCCACACTATCGCACGAGCAGATAAAGTGAAAGGCAGTCAGTATCTGTCACTTGTAGCTGCAGACTGCCTGGTAAGAGCTGTCACTCCTGCCTCTGTGACCACAAGCGTCCTTTACGCCTCATCATGTCGCTGCCCGCCGTCTCCAGGCTGTTCAGGACTGCTCTGAGGACCAGAGTCATTCCTGCGGCCAATCTGACGACCAAACCTGCCAAAGTAAACCTCTCTGCTGCGGTAAGTTTAGAGCCGCGGCACCTGCAGTCACTGCCTTATCTCCACGGGGCCCATACCCCACATCTCTTCGTCCAGCAGGACGCTGTTTATCTTGGTTTAAAAGGTGTCTGGTTCATGTGAATGTTGGCTCAGGTTTACTTCAACTGCGCCAAACTTCTCAATTCTTTATTTTCCCCTCTCAGAATTCCTTTTAGATAAGCTTATATATTACTGGGTTGTTATCTTTGTTCCCGGGAGAAAGAAGCATTGTGTCCAGACTAAAAGTTTATCTATATTTAGCCGGGTTTTTTTTAAGTGCGTCAGTATCTCGCCATTGTTCCGCCCAAATCCATCACGTACACTATCAAATAAATAGCACGCGCCCCTGAGTGGCGGGTTCACCGCAGTATGTACACTAAACTGGGTAACGTTCACGTTCTTCTGTAAATCCGTTGAACTTTTTACTCATGTTCCAGTGGAACCGGCCTACCGAACAGGTGGCAACAACGACCTTGACCCCGGACATGTAGCTCTGACCGGCCAGGTTGAAGAATAGTGACCGCTTGTTTTAAACTACAGCTTGATTAAAAATTCGCAGCCTCAAGTATTCCCTTCTAGGAGTGCACATACAACGACGAATCTCTTCATTATATAGTAATACAGTTGACTTTTGCCAGCTTACAACTGGAGAGCAGAAACTTCTGTTGGAAAATTATATGATCTCATATTCTGTTGTTTTAATGTATTATTGTAGGCTATATAGTTAGTGTATGCTACATTCTCAGAATGCTCCTGGGATTTGTTCTTCCAGTCTCCTTCCATCTTGTTGATTTGTATGACTTGAAACAATATTGACGATAAAACATTATGACTGTGTCTCCCCATCCAGGAGCAAGCAATAGGGATAACAGCCTTTTTGTCCGCCATCCTGATTCCCTCTTTCTGGGTATTGGCTCACATTGATGACTACAAAAAGAAGGCATAGAGGAACTGGAAGATGTAGGAGGATGGAGTTCCAGTCAATCTTTCTCCAGCATCTGATGAAACCAGATGATGGTCTTCTTTATTCCAGTTCCAACATTTGGGTGTTGATAACATTCACCAGTGCTCCAACCAAAAAACAACACATTTAAACACAAGCATTGTTCCGTTCTTGCTGGTGATGTTGATGTAGATGGATTAGAATGTCATAGTGTGCCTTATAATAAATAAAAAATGATCACCAGAGGTTTTCAGAGTCCAGAGTAGTTATTCTTGAAGTCTTTATTTGTATGAGATCAGCAAACAGTTTGTGTTCAGAGGAATCTCACATAGAGAAGCCAAAACTCTGACTCTTGCATATTTGAAATTATGTTAAAATTTAACAAATTTGTGTGATTTAGTTGGAAGTAAGCAGCTTAGTACAGCTCCTATTATTTAACAATGGAAAGTGGAAATGATAGGCAAACAAACAAAAAAAACTATCAAAAACATTTTCTTTAATCAATATAGTCCACATTTAGGCCTCTCCATGTCTGTTGCACACCATTCTATGCTGACTGCACAGCAAAGGATCAACTTTCAAATATAAAATGTTAAAAGTTACTTGATCCTTTAAGCCTTAGAAATAAAACATTGATATTTTCCTGCTGCCCATTCATACACACCCACAACATGGTGTACTGATTAACCAACAACTGATAAAGGTTCAGCTTTTCTTCTTGGATCTTTAGGCAAAAAATCCAAGTTCACATCTCCTGGATAAAAATAACAAAAAAGAACATTTAAGATGTTCGCTATCTGTGTTATTAGCCTGTTGGTGAAATCCTGTTCCACATGAAGCACCTTGTGGTTCAGTAAACCTGGACCTCAAGACTGAGTCATGTAATTTCAGTAGATGCAACCAATTCATCAATACATAATCGCACAAACTTCACTTGATGAAACATAAAAGGACATGGCCCATAGAGAAGGAAGGGAACACATACTTCCTGGTTCTGTGTCACCAAGTTATAATAGTTTCAGAATGGACCTTGCTCCAATAAGGTTGTAATTATTAACTAATGTGAAGGAAAAAAAAAAAAGCATTCTCACTGGACTTTGGCAATTAAGCACTGATCTCAGCATTGCATGTACTTTTTTGTTCCAAGAGTTGTAGTAAATATTTTCATTGCTGATGAATATAATGGAGAATTACTTCATTTCAAAACAATGAATGGAAAAACCTCTATCAGCTTTTCTTCATTATGTCTGCTGTTACCGAATCAGTCCTGCAGGTGGCAGCAGAGGCCTGCTGAGTGTACATGTTTATGAGTCTTGGCACTTTGGCTCTTATCTGGATGCAGTACCTGGATTAAGGATGTGCAACCAAATTATTTCTCCTTAATTTTTTTGTTTTTGTTTTACATTTTCATTATTATATGAAAATACATAATATTGAGGTGACCCATCATTTGCTGTTGGTCTCAGTTGTTCTGGACGTTCAAATCCTAAGAGGTTTAATAAAAGGCATTTCAATAAGTGAGCAAGTCCAGCTGCTCTTTTTAAATATTGTAGCTTTACAGGTATAAAACGTTTTAAAATATTTCCCTTTTTATGTTGTCATTCTTTTATGTCAAACAATTGGCAGTCAGGTTGTGTTTACATCACTTGTTTGTATAATATCCTATAACCAGGTGATGTTTAAAGATAAAAAAATAAAATAAAACCTATGTTTTGCTCCAAGAATCTGCTTAACCCAACATCTCTCTGTTGTAGAATCATGAAGGTGTTTATTTCTGTAAATACATTTTCTACTGTACATTGGTAATGAGAAATTACCATCTCTAATGAATCTTCATATCCCCATCGTTAAATGTAAGGACCATGAGGTTTTTTTTTTCTTTTTCCAATAAAGAAAATCTGAAGACGGGAGCCTTTATACGCATTAACCATATTTATAATACTGCAAAATAGAATCTAACACAATCAATTCCCTATGCAGGCAACCTCATTGGTAAGCAGAGATCTTAATCAGTCTGGTAAAGAAGTCAGATGTTTGGCACAAGCCTGTGGTAGTCTGGAGGAGAGCTGCAGAGATCCACAACTCAGGAAGGAGAAACTGCTGACATGGCAATTATTTGTTCACAAATTCAGTCTTAAAGGAAAAGTGGACAGAAGGAAGAAAGCTGTCAAAACACATTTTTACAGGTCACCAAAGGTCACATGGGGAAACCTTTGGAAGAAGCTGCTCTCATCAGATCAAAATCAAACACTCTGGTCTAGAAGTGCAACAAGGGTCACAGGTCATGTAGCCAGGTTCATATCTTGCACTTCATCAGAAAATATGTAGGAAAATTATTGGTCATGGTGACAAATTATTTTAATTTAAAGCTTAATTTCCTGCAAAATTAAGCTTTAATTTTCCTGGAAAAACAAATTCTGACTGAGCTGAGGCGTTCTCAGTATGATGACTGCTTTTAGATTTCTGAACTACATGTGAACCATATTTATAGAGCTTTCAAGAACCTTACCATAAAATACCAACATCTAAAGAGTTAATGCATTTAGGACTGAGTGCTAAATCTATTTCATAAAATTCCCTCAAAGTCTAGAAGCAGTTTGAAAGGAAGGGAATCTGTTGGGTTGGTATCACAGCAGCAGCTCTCAGTACATCAGCTGCAGTGGAGCAACTGCTTCAGGCAGCTACTGCTGGACCAACTGGATTAATAGCAGAAATTGTATGTCAGCATTTCAATGTGTGCAGGTCAGCAGTGAGACGAGTGTGCAGTTGCCATTATTTTGTTATGAAGTATTCAAATAAGCAGAATACATATTTGTATAAAAATGTCCCAAAACAAGCATTTATTCATCAATACAGAGACAACAGCAAATGAGGAAAATATTTTGAAAAGCAGATTTCTTTAAGTTACAATAACAACAACAAAAAAATCAATTGCAAATACTTATTTTCTCTAACAAATTACATAAAATACATTTGTTCAATTGTTAACTAATATGTACCTTGATTCACAATTATCAAAAAGCAACATAACATCAATCACAGACACGGGGCAGATTTAATAAGCTCTGAAAGGCAAAAGATAATTCTACCAAGCAAAAATATTCACAGAAAAATAGAATCTGCAGAAAAATAGAGCCATTTAGATCTTTGTCAGAAAACCTAAAAATTTACAATTAATTTAAACCATTTAGAAAAAGGTTCATTGAAAATCATCAAATATATCAAATACTTGCTTAGTAAAAGAAATATTAAAAATAAAACTAATCACACTCCCAGACCTTCCACCACTAGTTGACCTCCTGAAACCAGGCAATATGTGGCAGTCTGCAAAAATCCTCTAATTTCTGTCTGAATGGAACAGCAGGGAGAAAACATACGGAGAAATATTAGCAGACATGAATAAGAACAGAATGAAGAGCCGTGTGTGTGTGTGTGTGACGTCACACCCGGAGCTGCTGGTTCTCCACTCTGGAAGACAACAAGGCCTTACGACTGGATATACATGGACTCATGGAAGAAAGAGCAAATATGTGTATTAATACCACAGATGCATCTTTAGCCTGCATGCAGAGTAGTTTATTCAGATTCATATCCGTAGTCTTACGGCTGTGAGACGGTGAGAGAGAGCAGGACTTTGAGCAGATAAAAGGAAGGCTGAACAGAGAGCAGAAGAGCTGCTACTCTGCTTAGAGCTGTGATGGAACATGCTGGATTTGGCAACATAATGTCTACTTCATGATGCTGACTGCTCTATAGCTAATGTGAGACACTAAAGCCAGTTAAAGATGTTAGGATTTGTCTGAAATAACATTAAATCCTTAAATGACAGCGATTGCTCTCACACAACTCTGCCTCTGTTATAATCACAGGACACAATTTTCAACCACATTCTCTACACTGTTATGTCATAGTTCTCCAAGAGAAATATGAATTAAGTAAAATCCACTCTTCTCAGGATTACAAAGTTATCAAGATTAAAAATCAGTCACAAAACTCTGTTAAGTGCCATTTCTAAACTTCAGCTTTTAACAGGATCCAGAATAATCAGTTGGTGCCAGCAGAGGTTACCATGGTAATAAACCCAGTTCGAAGGTGAACCAGCTTGGTAGTGCTGAAACATTTTGAACTGAACCTAAACATTATTTGATAAGCCAACAATCATGCCTCATAGTCCAAACCTCTGGTCACATGTGTCAGGTCACTGATGGACAACTTCAGGATATAGGGTTAAAGCTCATCTAAAGAACTGGAGTCTATTTATTGTTCAAGTTTGTCTTACATAGCAAACCCAGAGGCTTCAGGGTGCAACCTGCTGCTCACTGAAGCTTCAGAGAGACGACTTCAGGGGCCAAACAAACAGGAACCAGAAAACACAAAATAAGGCCTCAAGAAATAAAGCAAGTCTTTGATCTGACCACCACATTTTGGTTTAACAGTTAAGAAGCCTGTCAGATTCATGTTTCACCTGCAATGTCTCACACTCACACTCACACCTGAGGAAAGAAAAGTGTCCTTCTACTGCAAAGCCGTAACCCCTGGCAACAAAACTGCAGCCCACTGCTTTCACATCCTGCATAGAGAACTTAAACATTTTTTTGACGACCCCCTGCAGTTTTCCTTTCACTTTGGAATAAAGCGAGTACTGATGCTGATACACACAGCACTGTGTTGTGATCAATAATCCACACTAATGATAAAACGTAACATGGTGCACACACTCGTACCTTTGATGGTTCAGAAAAGTCTGGCCTGTTGAGATTAAAACAAAATGACATCATAGCCTAAAAACTGGATTTGTTTGGTCCAACTCTGTCCCACTTCCAGCTCAGCTCCGGTTGGGAACAAGCAGCAGGACAGACTGGGCTCTGCTAAAGGGTGGCGAGGACCCTGAGGAAAGAGATGAGGACGACGCAGAATGACTGTCCCACTCCAAAAACAAACGCTTCGAAGGACATCATGGTCTTCCCCGCTGCCTTGTACACCCCAGCGATGGCTGCACCTGAGGGACACAAACAGGTTCATGACTTTGTGTAGGCCTGCCAACATGAAAATGTAGAACAGAAGATGATGATGTGGATGAAAGTATTGCAGGAATTTCTAAATAATGAATTTATGTTCTGAAAACCAACCAGATAAGAATCTACTTGTTTCAGTAAAAAATTATATAATTTAAAGATTTCTCCTACTTGTTTTATCCAGACAAAATTAGATCATCTTGACTAAAACATAAGAGAAGTGCAAACACACACTGAGGTGGAAGCCTTACTGGTGAGAACCCCTCCACAAACTGGTCCCAGAATGCCCATGAGGAGGATGGCGATGGGCGTGAACCGGGCGATCTTATGCTGCCGCAGAGTGGCCAGGGAGATCAGGGCTGCAGGCAGGTGGAAGATGATGGAGGACACGCCGGCCCACAGGAACACACCATACCACATCTCTGCCGGAGCAAACAACACGCACCGGTCAATCTGTGGGACCTGGCTCACACAATGCTGGCTTTCTGGTGAGACTTTCTTCTGCTTGGAACAGTAAGTGCTTAGAACTATAGCAACAATCCATGGATACATTTTTTTAAATAGTACAGGTATATCAAGAATCAATATATATTATGAGCAAAATCGGTGTTTGGTTATGTATTCCTTCTTGCAACAATGTTTCCTGGCAATAAGCTGTTCGGAGACCTGTCTTTTTTTCCTCAAATGGTGCTACTTTTGTAAGAACACTGCGCCCCCTGTCCATCCTCATTGGGATCGTTCTCCAACTGCTGTGATCCAACATAAACAGGTAAAGAAATTAGCTTGTCAGAGCAAATGTTAACTTTCTAAAGTGTCTGCTAATAGTATTTAGTTAACTAAATACTATTAGCAAGTGGATTTTATCATTGTTACAAACTGAAGCTAGCATTGCTACTTACTGATTTGTTTCACTGGTTGTGTTTCCCATCTCAAACTATTAGAAACTGAGGTCAGATCAACCTATTACTCAAACAGAATCTTAGTTTTTGGCATCATTTAAATGTTCTACAGACAAATAGTTGCAGATTAAATTACAGGACTGTCTCTACTGCTGGCAAGTACCTCGAAATCAATCAAATCAATGCATTTTAAATGTTTTGTTGGAATATCTTCCTCTGTCAGGTTATCTGTACTAATATGATTTAGAATATGCTGCAGCTCTACTCTTGTTGCATGGAAAGATGCTAATTTTTCTCAGGCTAAGTTCAGATTTGACAGCTGTAGAAACTAAACCTCCATAGTGAGAGAAAACATGACATATAGGTTCCACGTACAAGTTTTGCCACATATTTGTTTTCCACTAAATAACTTGGAAAACTGTTAAGAACATGATCTCTCTCGCTTATAAAAATATTTTCTTATTATGGTAAAAGATGTAAAATCTGGATTAGAGGGTGAATAGAGTTTACTCAGGTAACAGCCATGAAAACGTATTAACCTTTCAGTTTAAAGCTCGTGTGAACCTTTAATTACTGCAGGACTCGGAAGCACGAGCGGCTTCTGTACAGCTAACAAGTTAGCACAGAAAATCAACACAAGTTTACTGTTAATAGAAAGTTAGCTAGCATCACCATCCACACCAACGGTGCTAGCGTCCATGAACCAACATTTAGCTATTGACTTTTTTACACTTGTTTGATAAAGCACTTCACGTATCTTAAAGCCGGCTGTTTTATTGATGAAATCGGGGACTTTTACGTCCTAGCACGTAAACACTGCCAGGGCGGCTAGCTAGCACACATTAGCTTACCCGAGAAGTCGCTGAGCGATGTGTCGTTGCCATTTGTCCTCGGTACTAAATTCCAGCTGAATATCTGCGTGGGAAAGTCTATATCGCTGTACCTATGTTGCATATTTTACATTGGTATCAATCCATATGTGAATATGGCGAAAAGACGCGTTATAACCCACAACTTAAGAGTAAATTGTGACGCAACAGAAGCGCTCTAAGCACCGCCCCGTTTTTTCAAAACAAGAGCTCCAATTAAAATATCATTCACTTTCCTCTGAGCAGTTCATGACAAAAGGTTCTAGGAGCTTGAACAGATAATAGAGGTCTTGTGACTAATTATGTCCACCTGAGAAAATATTCCAATTCAAATGTACTTTAATGTGTGTGGAAAAAAGATCTCCTGCAGCAGACAGAAATATCAATCAGTTCAAGGGCAGAGAAGGCAGAAAGAAAGTAGATGTAGAAATGTCTGGATTTAACAGGGTTTTTTTCCGGGTATCTGGTTGATAAAAAATACTTTTGGCACAACTCTCAAGAATAACAGACCGAGATTGGTATGGGTTGGTTTTACAAAGTAGTTCAAATAACAAAGGCATTTCCATAACACTGCTAAATCCAAAAAAAGGAGCCAAAGGTTCTGCAGAATTCTTCAGAACGGTGATTTGTTCATATTTTTGGTTGAGGTATTTCATGTTTGGACAATCACTCCAACTGCTTTTGGATGCTGAAAAGCTAGGGTTTTTGAAGTGATGCGCAACCATGGCGATATATGCAGGCTTTTGATTTTACAAGCTGCTGACTAGAATCACAGTTCAAATACCTGAACTATGAGCCCAGAAACCAGATGAGCTGAAAAGGAGGCTTCATGGAGCAGAGAGAGGAGGACGTTCAAACCATCTCCAGCATCCATCACACAGGACAAGGATTATATCCCCAACTCCAACATCTGTCTGGCTTCACAATAATACAGTCCGATAGAAATAGAGGAGCAGAAAATGTAAATGAGCTGGATTAGCAGAGCCTGCTGTAATCCAGGCTCTGCTGGAATATTGTCTCTGCTGACCAGATGTTAGCATAAGTCTTTAGTCAGAGGCCGCTTCAGATTGGTTGCATGACAGACAGCTATCAGATCCTTCTTACTCACACCATCAGAACCCTGAAGATATCTGAGTGAAAACTTTTCTCTTCACAATAAAAATATGTTTAAACCGAATTGGGAGACTGAGGTTTTCTCACTATCTGGATCATAGATTACAGCAGTACTGATGCTGTACACTGCTGGTCACTTGGTCGAAATAAGGTCACAATGATGTCATCATAAAGCTCGAGCACAAAGACCTGAAGAGTTCAGGACTGAGGTGTATTAAACACAGTACAGAGTCGATGATTCTGTTCATTTCAAAAACTTACCATGAATCCAGCTTCCTTGGATAAAAACTAAATCTTTTGCAACACAACCCAACACAACCCTCCTGCTAATCTTAAAAAAATAATAATAACTCACCAATAAAATAATTAGGAACGTGTAGAAAATAGGAGTCGGTGCAGCATCTCTTCTGATTCCCCTGTGATTCAGCATGGTTCAGGATACATTTTCTTTTCATAAAATATTTTATTCATACAATCATGTCTTTAACTATAGCAACATTACTATTTCATTTCGAGTGTCAAGATATCAGTCGCACATCACCTCATAGGAACAATGGTATATAAACAAATGCAGAAAAAAAAATTATTCTCTATGCGCCTGAGTCCGTCTCTCATTTTGTCGTTTAGGGGTCATTCTGTACACCTGTCGGCCTTTCCATCAATAATGAGCCAATGGGAGTATTGCTGGTCCTGTTGGGACGTGTGATTGGTTGAGCTCTGAGCAGCAGCTGGTCCGTCCTCACGCCGGCCCATTCACAGCTTGCTCCAAGGGGACAGAGTTCCTGTCCAACCTAGGAGGAGGACATGCGTCAGTTACCTGGACAACTTGGTTCACTACACTGACAGTTCACTACTAGTGATTGCAGCACTGGAGAAAAAAAAAAAAAAAAACGCTGTTACTTCATTCAAAATACCCAAAAATGACAGAAAAAGTTGTAGGACCTCCTAATTGTCCTTCATCAAGCAGAGCAGCTAAAACCAGACAGATTGTGAGGTCAGTCTTACTTGGCGTCCTCCATGTTGGACATTTCTTTTAGAGGTCCATTGGGAAGCTCCACCGGGGGCCGACACTTCTCACTGTCGACAAGAACACAAGTGAAGTCAGTGACATGAAACAACTGTGCTGAATATGAATGTGAACACCTTATACTATTATAAGCAACTATTTATTTAATAATTTAGCAGTAAAAAGGGTTTTTGGTTTTCAATTAAAATGCAATGAATCAATTACAGAGCCTGCAATTAATTTGATAAAAATTTTGAATTCAGTCTCACTGCTAGTCAAACTTTCTGTTTTTAGGATTTTGCTTGTTATTTTTCCAACAAACACCGACTACCCCATAAGAAGAGGTACAGTTTTTGGTTATGGGTCAGGTTTAGGACTAAGGTGTGAACACAGTTAGGTTAGGTTTCGGGTTGGGGTGCAGTGATAAATCTGCCAGCCAATAAGTCCCTGATTTTCTTAATCTTGGGAGGTCAGTGATAGGTCGATATTTACATGTGATATCCTCTGATCTTTCCTAGGTGTAAAATTCCACCACTGTCCTCTGCTGTGAGAGGTTTGACAAACAGACTATAAGATTGCAAGTAACAATCATCACCCCACTGTTATCAACCAGTGACTTTCTTGCTATATTGATCAACACTTTAGACAAAAAAAATAATAAATTCTGTATTGGATAAAATCAGAATCGGCAGGTCAGACTTTTTAAAGATCGGTGATCAACCAGAAAATTGGAGTCGGTGCAGTCCTGGTTAAGGGTTTGGCATGCATGGGTAATGGTTAGGGTAAGGCTAAATAAATGATTGGAAATCAATACAAAGTGCCTGTGAAAATAGAAAGACATTGTGTGTGTGTGTGTGTGTGTGTGTGTGTGTGTGTGTGGTCTGACCCTGTGTTTGGAGAGCCGGCAGAAGTTAAGCTGCTCCCGGTTGATTCGGTGCGCTCCAGCAGCAGGAAGGCCTCTGAAGGACCAAGCTTCTCTTCATCACTGAAACAGACAGGTAGCAGCATAAGACACACCCACCATGCAGCTCCAGCACAGAAACACACAACACAGCCACATGTGAAACCAGATGCATGCTGAACTGACAGAACATAGTAAAACAAAGGATGATGTATGGAAATGGAAAGACTCTAGGGACATTCAAATGTACAGCAAATGGAGAAAGTAGATTGTTTTGAAATGTTTGGTTCTGATACTCTGTTCACTTGTGAAGCTCCATAGCAAACAGCCCACATGGAGATCGTTTTAGACACGGATTGGACCGAAACAGGTTGGATCAGCCGTCAGTCTTGCTTTATCTCAGAGAACCACCAAAGATCTTGATGAGGACTCAATCAAAGCAAAACACTAACAAACATCCAGATATAAAGCAGCGCTAGCGGTAGGAGATGAGCAGTGCTGGGCGGGCGGAGCACCAGGCTGAAGCAGGAATGTTCCAGATGGAAGCGTAAGATCCTCCATCCCTCTGCTCACAGCCACACTGAGCTTCAACATCTGGTAAAGATCAAATAATTTCTAAAACCTAAACTTTTGCTTCTTTGCCAACTCCAACAACCGTTTATTTAATGTGACGGTAACCATGGCAACCTGCAGCTCCAGAGCCATTATTGGCTCTTTGGGCCTTCTACAATGGCAATGAGGCTACTGTAGACTAAAGTGAGCCAATTTTGATGTTTTTTTTGTCTTAATGTGGCTTGTATCTGATCTTTTCATGACAATCTGAACAACACAGGTTTTTCGAATGTATCAGACCTAAAGACCAGGTCACGTTCATCTGACCTGAACGTCACTGATACTCAACAAATGTCTCTATTCTGCACCCTGATAAACGCAAGCAGGAAGAAAAACAACAAGCTATGCTCCATCATTAGCATCCATGTGTACTTCCGCAAACACTGAGCAGAGACCACTACTTCTTTTTATGATGATTGCAAAACATTTTTGCACTCTTTACTGCACACGCGGGGAACTTTCAGGTTGTTTGCAGTTCACACTGGAGCTCACATACAGGTTGCATTATGTTGGGAAGTGTGAATGACCACACCAAAAAGATTCAGATTTGAAAAAAAAAAAAGAAAAAGAAAAATCGGAATTGGGTTACTTGGCCTGCAGTGTGAACGTAGTCCAAGTAACTTTGTAATGTTTTCACATGTGGACAGCGACTGACCGTCAGCAGACCTACAATTACCTCTCTAACTAACCAGGTCACAGCTGCAGAGCAGACAGACCCAGAACAGGAGAAACCAAGAAACCATGTTAAAGGTCTTCCACCTATCAGGACTAGCTACTGGTGCTCCTGCTTCCCTCAGCTGCTGAACGAAAAGCCAACAACAACAACAACAAAAAATAACCAAAACACTTGGACACAGCTTTGGTAGAAACACATGCAGAATGGAGATTATGAGAAAACAGAGTTCAAAGCAAAAATAAAGACTGGGAAAGACAAGTTGGTGGTTGACGTGACAACAAGACTACATTACGGCTGCAGGCTCGTCTCTGATTGGCTGTACATACCGATAAGATTTCAACACTCTGAAGACCACACCCACAACGCACAGCAAGAAAGAGAGGGGAAGCTCAGACTGTGAGTGTTGTTCATTAAATTACATCACACTGTGGTTTACTGAGACAGAAGACTGCTTCAACAACAAGACAGTGGGACAGAGGACTGGCAGCTGGATAACTACGAACTGGCCCTCATCCGTTTCCGCTACCAGAGTGTGTTTTAATAATTCGTTTCTTTTTCTAATTACTAGAGATGCACCCAGAGTCTGACCTGACAGGCCCTCACTGGAAAGATAAACCTCTTTCTGATTTGGGGACGGCCCGCAGTGACGGTCAAACACTACTCCTCAGTGTGGATGTTGTCACTGTGGGGACAAACATGCAGCTCTCTTCAGTAATGGCGAGATGTTTCACAACAAAGCCACTGAACCTCAGCAGGAAGGACCAAGAGTCAAAGGCTGTGTGTCAGGGAACATGCAGGTTAGGAGACACATGCAGCCTTTTGGATATCTAGAATTAGAATTACCTCCTTTAGGAATGCTAACTGCTAATCATGATTAATGTGGGATGCTAAAGGCAGTTTCAGTTCTTAATTATTTTTGAGATTTGTAAAAAAAGCTATAGTCCGTCATACAGCAGTAAAGAAGACAGGCTGTAATTGTATTTATTGATACTGTTCTCCAATAACCTGGAATATGTTATTTTATTTGTCTTATGTGTCTGTAACTATGTTTTCTTTATAAATATATGCAAAGTCTTACTGTACTTTAGTATCATCAAAAAAGGACAATTGCTATGTTTCCATTGAATGTAATTAAAATCACATGAAGGAGTCTTTTCATATGTTATGTCATTTTAAATTATGGCAGCAACAGACATAAACCATTACATAAAATACATTCATAATTCAACAATGGTGCCATCAGAGGAGACGTGGGCGTCTTATTGGAGCAGCATGCACAACAATTATAGTTGGAGATTTTTATATAAAAGTTATAGATTGAACACATTCAATAGACAGAAAACTTTTTATGAACTGTGTGATGCCATCAGAGCCCTGGTGGAGCCAGCTGCTGATAGTCTGGAAAAAATGAATAAATAACCATCATTTTCCTATACCTGTCATCTGCTTCAATGTTTTTGCCAGTAGTAACATCTGGCTGTTGGTCATGTGACTAGTTTGATGTGAAAAAAATGTTTTGTGAAATACATCTATTTTGATACGGCTAAAAAAAAAAACATCTCACCTGAGCGCAAAAACTTCATAACAAAAAAATATGAGTTTTTCCCAAAATTGGTGTTTCCATGATGTAAACTTATTTTTGGAATTCTTTTATGGTCTATGAATACACAGACAGAGGCACATCTCTGTTACCTTAAGCAATATTTTTAAGGAACTTGTTTTGCTTTCCAATAAGCATTTTGTGATTACAAGTTAATTTTGAATTTTGCCAGAAAGAGAAAATATAGTTTGAATGGAATCAATATCTGTGGGGCGCAGTTTAATAACCGGAGAGATGAAATCTGTCAAAAAATCTCTGACTGGTGCATCTCTGTTAATTTAGATGGATTATAAAAATAAAATGTGTTCATGGTGAAGGAAATTCAAACAGTAGGACACATTCCTAAATACTAAGCCTCTTTTCATGATTTGTTGGCAGACTGTGCTTGATGACAACATAATCCTGATAATTTTCAGGAAGAATTGGGAAATGTAGTTAGAATTACATGTGCAGACACAACAGATACATTTCCCCTTTACTGAATAAAAAGTGAAAATGTTGATTGGCTGTTTTTATAATTCAAAAGGACATGTAGCTACACTAGCTAAGCTGTATTAGTGTATTGTAGAGGGTCAATACATTTAAAGAGGCTTGATTTCTCCTGATGAGAAGGCTGATAACATGACATCCCATCAATTCAGCCTCTGTCACCAGAAGAAGCTGCTGCAGCATCTTCTGTGAGCAACATGTTGGACAAAATATAGTTGATGCTTGTTGTGAATGTTCTCCCTGTCATTTAGTTGGGTATTAGAAGATGTAATGGTTGTGTGTGTGTGTGTGTCTGGAAGGCGGACCTCTTGAAAACGGCCGTCTCAGTCTTGGCATCGACAGTGAGGCTGACTGTTTCCTTCATGGAGCCGTTGATGACCGTCTCTGTGATGCTGCGCTGCTCCGAGCACGATGAGTCTTCCGCCGCCGTCGCGCTGCCACAGTCTGTAGATGAGGAGGACGAGGGCGGAGCCACGTCAGCGTCCAACCAACCATCACATTCTAGAGACAATCAGCTCAGCTGGTTCCAATATCAGCTAAAGAAGCAGGAGCAAACACTCTTATCCACAACTCACCGTCAGGACGCATTGGCGCATTGACCCCCAGAGGGTCTATCGTTTCCATGCTAGTTTCCATAGCAACCGGAGAGTTGCACCTTAGAGGGTCTTTGGGACTGAAAGACAAACATTTCTGTTAAGAACTCTTCCGCATTTGAGGTGGTAAAGTGAGCCAGATGTGGAACACAGCTGTCAGGCTGCCGTACCAGACGGGAGAGAAGCTGGAGAAGTCTGCCCAGCCCGTCTCCGCGCCAGGCGCTGCTGCAGCAGGAGACGAGTTCCAGGCCGCCTCTGCGGGAGCTGCTGTGGTAGAAGACAAAGGAGAGGATGCATCAGGGGTGCTGGGGCTGGAGGCTGCAGCTGCACCCGAACCCGTCTCCATGGGAACGTCGTCAAAGCTGGCCGTCCACACTGGCGCTTCAAACGGAAACACAGTCAGTCAGACAGAGCAGGATGTGTCTGTGTAGCACTGCTGCTAGCTAAACCAGTCAGGAAGTTGCTGTTTACATTCTATCATAAACAAAGGGAACAGAGACAAACAACCCCGGCTCTGTGTGTGTGTGTGTGTGTGTGTGTGTGTGTGTGTGTGTGTGTGTGTGTGTGTGTGTGTGTGTGTGTGTGTGTGTGTGTGTGTGTGTGTGTGTGTGTGTGTGTTACTACACCAACCTGTGTCCACCTCCATGCGGTCATCAGAACCGGGGTTACAGGGTTCAAACGGATCTCTCTTTGAGTCTTCTTCCTCTGAGTCTGTGCTCTCCTCGCTGTCGGTGCTGCCTGAACTCCTGAACATACAGACACACGCAGTCAGAACACCACTGACTGTTTACAGGCCACTATTTGCTGGATCATCTGGAGGTGAACTGATGAATGCTTCAGGCATCACATTGTGACCATAAACAAAACAATCACTCTTTCCTTCTGTTTAATCATAGAGTTGTTGCTTTTGAAGCTTGACTATAACCATTTTCAGACCAATCCTCCCCGGCTCACCTCGGACGTCTCTGTGCCTCTGGAGCAAAGGTGACATCCTTTTCATTCCAGATGTCCTCATCATCTGAACCAGCATCTTCAAACTGCTGGATTTTCTCCTTACAGCGCGCCTCAAACAAGGCTATATTCGCCTGGGGAAACACACACACACACACACTGCAGGTTTAGAAACACTGCACGTGCTCAGAAAGCTTTAGCAACAGAATAGCATCAGGCTTAATGCTGACGTCTGTTACTGAGCTGCTGTACTTTAGTTTTCTTTAACTGGAACAAACTCAGCCAGGTTAAAGGTGTTTTGTGAATGAACCACCAGATTGATTCAGATCTTTTCCTGACACCAAGACTACTTTAGTGGTTTTCATTCATAACTTCAGATCAGACTCCAGCACAACTAGTCAGCAGCCCTGAAGTGCATTAGTTGTCACGACAACACACGGGCTGCTGCCTGTGGAAATAAGTGCAGACGCTGCACTTCAGTGAGCGCATCAATTCTCAGGTGATGTGATCAAAAACATTTTTATTCCTTTCCATTTGAAATGGTATTAATATGATTAATATGAAGTTTATATTTAATATAAGTTTATATTTGAATATGAGTTCATAGAAGTGTTTTCCTGTGTTACATGATGTGCAGCATTTTGTGTTGCTTTTTTAAAAGTGCTTTATAAATGAATTTGTTTTGGTAAAATTTCCAGCAATGGTGTTTGCTGTAGTGAAGCAAGAATTGACTGGAAGGAGACAGACTCCAGTGCCTGGAAGCAGCATGCCATTATTAAATGAAGCAGCATTCCAGTCATCAGTCGTGCTGGTTTCTGTCTGACACAGAAAGAGAAAACACTTCTGAGCCTCTGGCTGCTCTGAAACATGGCATACGTCTGTAATTTGGAACTATAATTTTAGAAAAAAAATCTGTTTTGCTGTTCAGACCATACACGTGGAAAGAAAAACCAAACCTCGACGACAGATAAGGGTCACATATGGACCTGTGGTGTAAACATAGAATAAGACATGTAGAAAAAAGAAAACAAAAGCCTTTTTCTCTCAGACTCATGACAGACTTTACATATTTAGGATCAATATTTAGTACTTACACTTTCATTTGTATTCAGGGAAAAGTTGATGTCTGATATTCTATCAAATGGAATACTGCAAGATGAAGAAAAACATGAGTTTACACAATGCAGAGTGTGTAAACAGAAGTTCAGGTTCAACATATGAGGATAAACTTGTTTCATGCAGAACACCAGACAAATAAACTTTCTGAATCACACAAATGTCTGAACCAGGCAGCAATAACTACAGAACTGCTGATACTTCCACTTATCACTGATAACCAATCAGTCTCAGAGACATGAACTACTGGCTACTCAACTATAAAAGGGAGACAAAAAAAATCACTTACATGCAGACCTAAATAATAATGGTGATTAAGGCTGCAAGTTATGGCAGAAACAAAGCTGCAAAAACTTCATAACTGAAGCAGTCATTTAAGAAACTAGAAATAAGATTTTTTTTTTTAACTGCAGAACACCATCAGTTGTTCTAAGACTTTCTCCCTGTGGAAAGACAGTCTTGTTCTGTAGCAGTAAAAGCGGAGGTGTAAAGGTTGAGAGATTCCAACTGCCTGGAATGGAGACTTTGTGCCAATCTTCAATGTATCAGGATTTAGGTTTCTGTGGAACCTTTAAGTAACATGTCTGACTCTGTTCTCAAACACTTATTTGGATAAAATCTGCTTCAAACTGGGCGGGGGTCGTGGTTTCCAGAGCTGCTGATGCCGATCAAAAATCAGCTGATCTGGGTTGTCAGACATCCTGTGATGTTAAGCTGGTTATAATAGGACATTCAGCTTTGATGGAACGCAGAAAAAAATCATTTTTGCATCTCTCCACAAAGATTCTGAATTAAACAGAAAAGATGATCCAACATTTACTAAAGAGACAAACTGACATGATTGAGTTGAATCGATGGCTGTGGAAAATCAGCCAGCCATCAGCGTGTAATAATCAACATAAGTCAGAAACTAAATTCACTAAAACATTGATGCTATGACCAGTACGGTAACAAATTGCTTCCTCCACATTGGAGTTTTTACAGCTGGATGTTTGTTTCCATGGGAACTCACTTTTTAAAAGCTTGCAAATATATTGAGCAATATTTCTATGAAAAAGTCACAAGATCTGAACTTGGTTTCTGACATATTTCTATTAATCTGGAGAGCATTTCACCAAATCACCGTTCATTTCTAAAACCCCCACCGGCTTTTGGACTGTTGATCATGCTGAGCACAAGACAGAAAGGGGCTTCAGGCAGATCTTCCCCATCTGAAGAGAAGCAAGTATTCTTAAAGCACCAATCAGCTGCCAGCTCTCCCCACAAGCCTTTATACCACTGCTTAGGATTGCATGGACCCAAAGCAACTATCCATAATACAGGAAAATCAGGCTACAGACAGCAAAAGACAACAAGCTGAGATGGATATGATTCGTTTCCCATGAACAGCTGGACCTGCAGCCTTGTTACAGAGGAAGGAGAAATGGATGCTTCTCAACCTCCATTTCCTAATTCAAATCCAAAATAAGTTAAAATAGTTTGTACTTGTAACAAATAAATTAATGCAATATTTAACAGCCCAGGAAACAATCTAATCCACCATCTTTATATTGCCTTTTGTGTCATAGACAGTTATATTTATGCAGGATGCATACTTACTCCACAACATCATCCTGGTCAGCAAACTCTTCGTCATTGAAGCCGAACTGCTCAATAAAATTGGACGTCATTTGTTGCATCTGATAATCAGAAAAGGCCTGGCAAGACCCAGGACCAACGATAATGATATAGTCTTGGCTCTAAACACAGCTAGGCATTAGTTGCAGTACAAAACGTTACAAATGTATCACAATTCTGGTTAAAACACAAATGCACAATTCAACTATCTATTCCACCTGCAGCTGTTATTCTGAGTGAAGTGACTGGAAAGGCAGGTGATGGTTTAGAAATCATCTCAGCTCTGCAATCAGGGGCTTCCTGATGCTGCAGTGTGCATCAAACCTCAAGAATGACAACTTGCTTCCAAACAGATTTTAAAAAAGGCTCTGATGTTTGAGGCTTCAGGCTGCATGATGCTGACCTTTCTATATTTAGGAAGGTCAGAAGCTTCTCTTCATGCTGTGTGAGTTTAGGATGGACAGGAAATAAATGGGGTCTAGTTTCCATGGAAGTGAAGGGTCAGGTTTTACCATGTTCAGCCAGTCAGAGCTTAGATGATTTCACAAAAGAGAGCATCACCTTGTGTTTTCTGTTAGACATTACACACAGTCCCAAACCGGTGAGCATGTGACAATCCACATAGAAGTGAAGGACTTCTGGATGACATCACCAGCTTTTGCTTCATTTCAATATGTCTGAATTATCAGAAGGATTGAAATTTCTTCCTGATCACCAGGATTCTGTTTAATCCTTTCCTGCAGCATCTTTCAACAGCAGGACAGGAGCTACAAACCTCACTGCTGTCTTTTCAACACTGGACGGGACTTTTGATCCAAAACCAAGGCTCAACAAGAGCCGAGCTTCATTCCAGCTGTTTCACTCGGAAGAAGAACATTAGCCTGGTGAGCAGATCAGGAATAATCAGCTAAAAGTCAAACACCACCGACCTGAGCAAGCAGCGGCACCGCTGAGGTGGTAGAAAGAGAGCTGGGCAGTAACAAGCTGCGCAAAGACAGAAACAAGGTTTCTAACAGCCTTGTTCCAACATCGAGATCTGATATTCATATTGCTGTTATGGCAGATAACCAATACTTATCATTATAATGTATTTCACTACTCTTTCAACAAATTGTGAAAAAAAAAAAAAACTTTCACAACACTGACTTCACTACAGCTTCTCTGTTTCAGGTACAATTCCCACAATCCTTTGCTGCATCACTATCACCATCCCATGACCACGCTCCTCTCTCCAGAAACAAATGGCATCAAGAAGGAAACGGTTTAAGTCATCGGACTGACACCGATATGTTAGAACATGACTAATTTTGTGCATATTTATTTCAGGACAATTAAGAAAAACTAAATTCTCTTAAGAATTAGACGAAGATGTGAAATAATTTCTATGGGAATTCATAAAAAGCAAAAGCTGTCATTTTGACATCAAATATGGTCTGAACCTCCATACAGTGTGTGCAACATTGGTGCTGACTTTTAGTGTCGGCACCAAAAGTGTGATAAACACTACTGGAAGAAAAGCCTGTCAATAAAACATGATGTGATCCAAAAATATTTCATCCAAAAACATCACTGTTGTGATTAAACAACAAGGTGCCTGCATATATTTCATAATAAATCATTTCTAAATGAAATGTGAAAAATGGTTCACACAGTTTGCCACTTTAATGCTGCCTCTCATGCGGAGTCATAGAAGAATGTCTGAAGCTGTCAGAGGCGATGCTGTGCTGCAGGGATTGTTACCGGCTCAGCTGGCTGGAACTGTTCACAAATCGGTTTCGCTCAACTGAAGAGGTCACATTCACACAAATGGTGGAAGCTTAGTTTCATTCAGTTCTAACCAATTTAAATCAATGTTAGTAGTGTTTTAAATGATTTCTGAAGGATTCAATCACCCAGGTCTGCATTGTGGCTACATTTGAGTGTCTTACTTGTTGAAGCGAAGAGTCCTGGTGAAAGCCACCATCTTTAAAGTCTACCTCATCATCGCTGGAAGAATGGATGTGATGAGTGTTCACCTACAAACATTAAATAATAAGACTCTGGTCACTTTATGACTGGAGACATGAAGGTTGAAGTAAAATCCCATAACAGAGAGGCAGAGTTTATCGAGTAACTCACCAGGTCAACAGTGTTTCTTTTGTTTGTGTCAGCAAGCTGCCCAGAAATGAAAGCCTCCCAGTTCTCTCTGTCCTCTGTGGGAAGCTCTGGAACATACATCATAAGCAATACTCTGTTGGTTACTTTCCCAAACAAAGTAAAGTCAATCCCATCACCTCCATCAGATTTTAAAAAATGTATCTAATTCTCATGACATCTGAGAACTTCAAATTAAAATCACACTATTATGTCTAAATGTTTTCAATAAAAAGTCAACATGTACAGCCAATCACATTTAATAACACCAAATTTGTGTGCAGTGTGTAACAGTACAGCAGGACCACGTATCTGGAGGTAATGGCCCTCCACCTGACAGTCCGGAGACATTTACAGGCTGTCTTCGTCCTTCTCTCTCTGCCCATTTTCCTGTCTGCTACCTATCAATAAAAGCTTGAGTGCCAAAATATTCTTAAAAATCTCCACAGGACCCTAACAGAACCAAGTAAAGTCCTGGTCCAACTGTAAGTTACAACTGCTCACAAGACTTCAAGTAACTCTTCATCATTTTTACTCTTGAAATAAAAATCGTAAAAAAAATTTTGCTCAATTTAACAAGTAAAGCTGAAAAGTTTCAACTGTATGAAGACTGTACAGCCATATTTAAATATAATATCAATTCTAGTCATAAACACCGCAACTAAAACCACTCCTTACCAGAAATGAGGCCCTGTATCTGTGGGCCATTAGGACCTTTGTCACTGTTATGAACAATGGAATTGGCTATTCTGGTCAGATGGCCCATGTAGCCTCGTCGTCGACCGCCCTCTGATCTGAAAAACACCAACAGCAGCAGAGTTATCCAACACCAACAGACCTTCATGTAACCAGAACGTCTGTGGCGTCAAACAGGAAAAACCTACTGCTCTTTCTCATTGGAGCGCCAGGCATCTACGATTCTTTGGATCAGCTGACAGGCTTGAAACAGCTGGAGGAGGAAAAAAAACAACAACAGACAAGGAAGAGAAATTATGAAAAACAACAAACAGATAGAGTGCATCCAACAAGAAGGAAAATCCCAGGAAAGGAGTCTTGAACCAAGACTGGTGTTACCAAGTCTAACTAATCAAGTTGTTAAAAGTAGCCTCTCTGAAAAAACAGAACTTTTACTGGGGATCTGGGAAGCCAGTTTCAATAGTATGTTTATATTAAAGACACAATATGGGTAGATATCCGATGTTAATACTGCTGTTATACCAATGAAATACTTACTGATATATTTTTTGCTTGACTTTCAAGACATGTAAACGTGACTACATAGCTTTTCTGCTTCAGGTAAACATCCCATAATTATCACTGGGATGATGGCAGGAGTTAGTCCCGGAATCAGTGGGTCTCTGGTTCAATTCCAGCTCCACCTGCACAACACCCGCCTGCTGGTGTTGGTCACAATCCAGTAGTGATTTCATTTAAAGCGCCTGGGCAATTTGTTAAAAAGACCAATTTATTAAAACATGTCTAACATCAGCTGATACTGATGCCAATATATTACTTCATGCATTATTAAAGATCTCCGTCATAAGTTTCTCTGTACCTAATCCGTACTGGCCCATTAGTTTGGTGGAAAATGTGTAAAGAAACTAAACCCAATAAAAATCAGTTGGATACATCTAGACATACCTGTAAAAATCTAAAATTTCTGCTTATGTTTTCCTTATTTAAGATATATACGTATATAATGTAAAATAATAGGAGACAAACAAGTGTATTCAGGATAGTAATCAGCTGAAGGCTCCCTGTCAGTAAGTGAGCCTTACATGTCTGATGAGGGCGCTCTCTGCTGTGCCACCCTGATCCCCGTCTGGCTGCGGCTCTGCCGGAGCTGGGGGCATAGCAAGAATCATTGCTGTGCAGATTTCCACCTGAATATGGAGGAAGTTGTTCCAAATGTATTTGAAATACATATCCTGTTGAAAAGAACAAAAAGAAACAGACAAGCCGTTCAGCAGGGAAAGATATGAAGCCATTGTTTTATAAAGCACTAAACAAAGTGATGGAAACTTCACTGAAGACAACAAATCTTCTGCTGGGTAGAGTGTGAGCTAACCGCCCGCACTCTACAGTCAAATGTAGACTATACTCAATCAAGATTCCATCTGAAATGAGTTTCATAATAATGAGTGAAATAAATAAAGTAATGGAGGATGGAATGGCCTGTCACAATAAACAATAAATCAATTAATCACATGACAAACTAAAACAAACTCAATAATTTTCATTTGCTTGATTTACTGTTTGTCTTTTGTCTCTCTCTTTCTACCAAAACTGGTCTTCAGTCTGCTGCTCTGGTTTCAACTTTCCCTTTTTTCACAGGCAATTTCATCACAAGGCACTTCATAATTCATTTGTTGTTTCTATTATTTTGCTAATTTATTTTGGATATCTAAAATGCCTTCTGGTTTCAATGTTTAAATGTTCATTAGAATTTAAGTTTGACAAAGTGTTCTTGCATTGTTCTTCGATTATTACTATTATATTACTTGAAGATTGTCTCAAAACAACATTATCATTTATTGCAAAAAATTCTGGGGCATTTTATTGTCCGGCAAAATTTTATACTGTCACAGGCCTAGGTGTAATAGCTGGTACTCACTAGTATGACTCCCAGTGTGTTGAGGTTTATGAGTTCAGCATTGATGCTGTGAGTGTTGCACTGCAGCAGACTGGCCACCAGTCTGACCACATTGAGCCTGGTGTTGCCCACTGGTGGGTCCAGGACCCCCCATGTTGTCTTCAGCACATTCTTCTAATGATGGAGAGCAAACACTGTTCAGTATGTACAACTACACTCAACAGCATGATCAACCTTATAGTCCAAACCCTTCGGGGTGAGGAAAAGGTTTTACCTTTGGGGGTTCAAGCAGCAGCTGGTGGAAATCTTTGAGGCGGGGTCTCACAGCCTCCAGGATGCTGTGGTTGACTGAGAATGAGGGGTGGGACATCCCAGGAGGGCATTCCATGTGACCCTCGAACCTATGGTGGGCACCAACAGATTTTATTCAACTGGCTGTCACACGACCATCATCTGCACAAAGTCAACTTGGACATATTGAACAGGACATACGCTGGTCTCCTGGTCTCAAACAATGTGAGCAGGATCTGGATGACGCTGACTATAGCAGACTCGTTTTTGTCCTTCTCAAAAATATTTGAGAGCAGCTGCTCCACTGTTTCCTGCCTGAGAAAGAGGAGGACCAACAGGGAAATGAGAAAGAAGGTCTTGAACTTAACAGAAGCATCACAAGGAATTGAAAGCCTAAAACAGAGTGAAATAAGAACAAAGAAGAAAACATCTACCAAGAAGCAAATAAATAAATTTTAGGTCTTAAAACCTTACATGGCGATATACACAATGTAAGGATGAATCTGGGTTTCCTTAGCAACCTAAAAGTCCTTTCATATCATAGTGAAACAAACAAGCAGCTACAAACTCCCAGTTTGGATCACTTCATCCTTTTAGAAGCTACTGAGTGCACAGGCCCGGCTGTGATACACAGCAGAGAGGCATGGCTTACAGCTAGCAATACCCTGCTGGGAACTTCCCCAGAAAGGAGCTCTACATATTTAAATATTAAAAGATTAGATCCATGAATTAGAAGAAAATGATAAAAACTCTGGCTCTGATGATCTGGGGCCTGAACACCAACTTTCATTAGGAGTGAAACTGGTGACCAAGTTAGCTGGTTGAAGAGTCATATGAGAAAAGAATCAGGGATTTTGATTAAATTTTTCTTTTAATTCCAGTTTCTCTTCAGCCTTTAATGTCATATTCACAGATCCATAAGGAGTTGTCAACCAACAAAACAAGTTTAGCTTTATATGCATATGCAGAGGTATACTTCTCTAGCGTAGCCAGAAGAGGATCGGGCTCGGAGCAGCCCTGGACCTGAAACATCTGGTCTCTGCTCAATCTGATGATTTCACATAAAGACTGGGAGGCGTTGGAGTGTCTCTGTGTCAACAAAACAATCTGGTCAATTTGAAGAAGAGTTCAGGTAAAGGCAGGCCAAATTATTCTTAAAACACTCACATCTTCATCTTGAGAAGGCTGGACCATGTCAACCAACCTCTGAATCACTTTCTCCTCATTCAGCCACTGCAAGGTAAGACAGTAAACGGAGTGTTACATTATTACACACACAAAAAGTCACCTTCAGAGAAACAAGATTAATATTATAGATGATTATTGGAAAATATACCATCTTAGAAAAAAAGGCTGAGATAAAAATGTTCGGAGACTGAAATCTCCTCTGAATGACCAGAACAAACAAAAATAATCTGATTTTCTCTAACTTTTTAATTTATCAAAACTTTAAGAACACACTACTTTCAGTCTATAAACGTGTTTAACAGCACGCTTCCAAACTTTAATAAAAACCAGGCAGGGCTTAAGGGAACATTTAAGACCAAGATTATTCATACCCCTGGCCGATCTAGGTGATCTAGATATTTTAACTTCATCGACATGATTCTACATGTGACTGAAAATGACATAGATGTGTCTATATCTGATTCCTCCACACACTTCAGCTCAGAACCAAACAGCTACTATATTTCACTTACATTTCTATTTCTGAATTCATAAACAGCAACTGCAAAAAATATCCAAGACGCTACACCATTCCACATTCTCCATGATTTTCTAAAGTTTCCTCGTTAGCCAGGTTTAGTCCTAGCTCAAACAAAAGTTCTCAGTGAGAACCTGCAGCTGTGCATTAAGGGTATAAACTTAGTAAAGTGCTAAAAGTCACATCTAAATGTCTTCCAGGTCTTGTGACCTCTGGGCTAATTGGTAATAAAACTTAGACTCTATCAAAAATGTGTTGGGGAGTTCAACGTGACACCAGGACCAGAGAAAAGTGAAAAAGAATCACTATCAGGAGTCCCCTGAACAATCTTTCAACCTTTCACCTGACCTTTACTAAATCCAAGGAAAAGAAGAAGAGCCTTCAGATTCTCCTTCCAATCTGATAACAGAATGAATATTATATTGAACTGAGAGGGTCAGATGGGCCACAGTGGCCCCCTGGTCCCAGGCTGGTCTGAGGAATACCAGATGTGTATCTGGAGAACCTGATGCACATCACATGTTGAGGATGATTGTGCAAAAAATATTCATAAGTTATTCATAACAATTATCTGTGTGACTACAGATGTGCTAGAGTTGGCTTAATGCTTGGGGTGAGTTCCAGGCCTTTTCATCCTGAGGATAACAGGAACCAGAAAGACTGGTGTTTAGAAAAAGATGAGCAGACTTTTCTAACAAATAGTTGTTTCCACATAGAAAGGTTTTACAGGAACATATCAGTGAATGACAGCAGAGGAAATTAAGTTGCAAACATTTAAAATTCAACTGTAACTTTATGATTAAAGTAAGCATTTTGGTTGTTTCTTTGCCTGTAAAAAGAGGAATAAAACATAGTTAACCTTTCCATGTTTACTTCAGATCGATCTTTTCTTCGTGTTTTTTAAATAAAGCTTGTGGCAAATTTAGAAAACCACAGTCAGTGGTGACTCCTAGGTTAAATAAAAGAACTAAAACAATTACTTAGTCTTTGTTCTGACTTTTGAATGAGAAAGACAGTGATGAATGTCAGTGAAGTTTGGTCGAGCATGGTGCTGCTACCCACATTAAGAACATCATGCCGTAGTTGTTGGGGTTCAATGCATGTGAGCATTCTGAGCAGCAGGTCCATGATGGCAGACGTCCCGATGTGTTTGATCATCAGATCAACAAAGTCGTCCCTCTTCCTTAGAAAATTCACTATCTGTTAAAAACAGAAGAGAAATTCACAGATACCATCAGCAGTCTGGAACTCTAAACAGAAAAAAAGACATTCAGAAGATTTCTTTCAGTTATTTACATCTTAGTGTTGCTTCTAGAATAGCCATTGCTGTAACGAGGTAAAGTGTTTCTCTCAGAGAGTACTGGGGTCACTGCTACCGTAAAGTTAGGACTTCTCCAACATAGAAAGTACTCCAGGTCCAGAGTTATCATGTGTGTAGTCTCTGACCTCTCAAAGGCCCAGTCGATTACATCACATGGTCTGGTTCTGATGGATGTCACTTCCTGTTAGAAATGGCCAAGTTCTTTCCACTCTCACCATTTTCTTGTTCAGAAAGAAGGACTGCTGACAGTCAGTGACTCTATGCAATCAGCTGAGCTTCCTTTTACTAACTGGTATTACTTGTACGATTGATAATATTAGAGATACTTCAGTCAGGTTTTATACTGCCAATACGGATACTGATCACTGATACCAATCACATGTCTTGGCTGTTCAATCTTCCATTTTGTTGTAAACACACATGACTATATGATCCAGCAAAAGGCACCATAATTTTTTTTAAAAAACTCACCTAATTTATAATTATATACTATATAATTATATAAATAAATATATTATATATTTTTATTATATATATATATATATATTTTTGCAGGCACAATGGAACAGCCATGCAGTCAAAAGAACGATTGAAAAACCTAAAATCAGTCACAACATTAACAGACTGAAAACACTAAATCTCAACAACCTGAATTATACAGAAAGTCAAATAAATCTTACAGCACTGTCTACACCAAATAATAGAGAGAAAAAAGAAAACTATAATAAATCCCCAAAATGAAAACATGGCTAATTGTTTCGTGTCTGAACAAACTGTTGTGGCTTGTTAGAGCTTGATTTACAGCGCTAAGACCCGCCTCCTGGCTATGATTGGTTGTTTCTGATTTCTGACTGAATGCTGTATTTCTGCAGTACACTTTTTTTTCTTTTAGACAGATTACCTATCTCATGTTGGCTATTAAAAATGTCAATGTCCTTTGTAAAAAAGTTTTTTATTTGATAAAAATCCTAGTGACATGGTGCAGCTTTCAGGAGCAGCTGGATGTGACAATCCTCTGTCTGTGAAGTTCAAACGGCAGTTGTGTCTCAGTAGTGGCCGTCCAACAGTGACACAGGCTGGTCATCCAGCCAGATAAATTTTATGATAATTTTGCTCAGCCTGCTGATTGATGTGTTCATGTTGCTGGTTGTATGGCACTTAAAACTGCTCTGTCTTCAATTTACCATGCTATGTTAAATATTTGTTTTTTAAATATCGTATGAAATTTGTTGTGCTGATGCATTTTGACATTGAAGTATTTTTCCATCTGAATGTACAGCTTCAATCACTCTCACGGAGAGAACAAAAGTTTCACACTTTGCTTAGAATTTGCTGCCAGTCTTGCACAGCGTGAAGGAAAGAGGAGATCTGTTGCAGATATGGTGTCTGCAGGCCACCAAGCAGGACATACTTTTTCACAGAGATTGGCCAATAATGATCAATGGCCGACTGATTGGCACACCCCTAACAACTACTACTTCTAATTTCCACTGAGTATTTTTCCAGACGTACCTGTTCAGGCTTGCGTCCTATAAGAATAGACAGTACTTTGGAGAAAAAACTGGCTAGGAGGGGGTTCAGCGGTGGGTCGTTCTTCAGGAAACCATACAGTTTCATCAGCAACATCTCATCTTCTCCCAATCTGTCATTGATTTGGCCCACATCTGATGTCAGCAGCTCACATGATATGTTGGGATACCTGTGGGACAAATGTTGCCCTTTAGACTCATGGCAAAGTTTTCTTTACTGATCGATTCATGCTGACAGTATTTCATTCCAGGAACAGCAACCCACAATCTCTATTGATGACTTCATTCACTTCTTTCAAATTATTTTTTTCTACATTATAAACTTTTCAATGATTTCACCAGAAAGATTACAAAACATAAAAAACTGTGTTATTCATTTTTCAGAAGGCAGTTCTGAACCATGTTCTTACTTGTATTTAACCTTTTCCTCTACATCAGCACTAGGCTCCTGTGTGATGAAGGTGACCAGGTCCTCCATGCACTGCGCTCTCAGGAGGAAATCCACCAGCTTGTGGTTCTGAGCCTTGCACTCCTGCAGGACATCATCCTCATCCATGACCTCTGTCAGGGTCACATCCTCCTTCTCCAGGAGTGTGTCAATGTGGGATGTGGTGTGGAGGTCAAATTTCCAAAACATGGTGGATCTAAAGACAGAGCAGACTAAAAATTAGCTGAAAGCATTTACATAGCTGGCAGGTGTGTTTCTGTGTGTGACGAAGGTGTCAAAGATCCGCAAAGACACAAAAAGCTATGGCCTTACAAAGGATGTAATTATATATTAAGCTGACTGAAAATGATTATGGAAATGTAAGACCAGGGTGTCTTTAAGTATCTATGTCAGCCTGCTGCTTTATTATCTTTACTTTTAAATTTAATACAATATCAGATTTTTATGTGATTATTTTTCCAGGTTGCTTTAAAAACTTGCTATTTTTGTTACAGGATAATTTTCTAAGCTAAAGAAAATTGGGTAACACTTTATTTGAAGGGAGCATGCATAAGACTGAGACGACACTGCCCTAATTATGACATGACAGCTGTCATTAACACAAAGAAGTCTTTATGAACGTTCATGACTGTTGTCGTGAAGTATCATTTAACACTTTTAATGCATAGCTGCTTTAAAAGTTGCATTAAAAGTTAATTAAAAGTGTCAACTTTGCATTGCAGTGTTATTTACCAGTCTGTGTCACTGTTACTTACAAATTAACGCAAAGTTTCACTTCAAATAAATGTCACCAAAAATTGTTAGTGATTCACAAATATGAAAATTTGAGCCAATACTGATACTAGATATTAACAGTAATGTTATGGAAACATTTCCCAAAGTTTTCTTTTATTAGATTTTTTTTAAATTTAATTACTGGATTATCAGAATAATCAATAGATTACTAAAATAATTGTCTATACTGCCAATACTGAATAAAGGAACAACATTAAAACTGAGCGTTGGCCCTCCTGAGAACAAAGGCTGTTCCTTTGATGATTTTAAACCTCTGTCATCTTTCTCCTGAGCAGATTTACTTCAGACTAAATCTGACAGAAGGCAGGGGAAACTGTCGCAGAAAACAGTTGCATGGCTTCTGTGATAAAACATCCACACTCCTTTAAAGGGAAATAAGAATACCCCAATTTCCATGGAAACACGTAATACTTTCCCTGCCTTTTGGCCCTCGGTGTGACACCGTTCTCCAGGTTTGTACTGCACTCACCCCATAATGTTTCATTCCATAAGTCTGAGTGATTACGTCCAAGGGAACATCACTTTACTGTTTCTGCAAAGTTGCCTCTGTACTTCAGTGTCTAATTCTTAAAATCTTTTGGACATATCTGAATTCTGACAGCCTCTTCAGGCCTTCAGTGAAAGTTACCACATGCAAAATCTAAATACATATATATATATATATATATATATATATATAATATATATATATATATATATATATGTTAACAGCCACGGTTGACAGTTCTCAAATTTAGAACCATGCACATGAAATGCTGCATGTCTGACTGCTCCCTGTTCATGTTAGCTGTCTGTCAGCACGTGATGCAGATGGAAAGGCATTGCTGTAGATCATGGATCCTCAAAGGCCAGTGTCCTGCAGCATTAAATGAGTCTCTGCTTCAACACACTGGAGTCAAATAATCAGATGACTAGCAGGCCTCTAAAGAACTTGACTTCATTGAGGATGTAATTCAGCCATTAGATTCAGGAGTATTGAAGCACATGTAAAAGTTGCACATCAGTGCGGCCTTCAGTGAAAGTTACCACATATCCACACGTAAATAATTACAAATGAAACCATAAATGTGGTTTAAAGTTTTAGAAAATGCATAAATCGGCTCAACTTCTTGCATTGAGTTGAGCCGTTACCTTCATCCTTCAAGGAAAGCATCAATAAAAGAAAATTTAACTGATAATCAGCTCAAAAACTTTGCAGCAACCGCTTTTACTGACCTGCTCTGTGTCAGGTCAGAAAAGTCAGACAGACAGTCTGAACTGACTACAAACCCTGTCACTATACTGATGCACAATCATTTGTCTTCACTAAGTTAAATCTTAGACCGAGTCTTGTCTCAGTCTAAGATGTGTCACTTACAGTGCATGTACAGCTGCTACTCACTCATCATCAATATAAGGCTTTGGTCTAACTCTTGACTTTAACTATGTGAAACACAGCAGAAACTGAAGAGCCTGTTAGCTTGGCTATACCATCCCACATCTACCAATAAAATGATCGTAAATAAATCTGAGGAACTTTACAAGCGCATGCACCCTAGTAAACTAGCAGGTTCCATGGTAACAACAAGACCTTACGGTGGGATGCCCTTACTTTGAGGTAAGCTATGTTCAAACGGAGGCAGACGGAAGAAGCTGTTTAACAGATATTTCTGTTATCTACCACATGGTTTAGATGTAGCAGTTAACAGGTATTAGCACAGCTTTTTTGTATCAAGTAAGTCCTGGGTTTGAATCCCACCCTGTGGTCTTTTTGTTGTCCCGGTGCATGACTGAGTTGCCCTCAGTTACTCCATCTTCTGAGGCAATCAGCCACTCTAAACTGCCTTCAGGTATCAGCGCATGCATGAAGCTGTCTGTCCTGTGTTGCCCAGTGATGGAGCGTCCACCAATCCAGTGACCGCTGGAGATGTAAACCAATCTACACAATGACTGCTGTTTCTTTAATGCTAGCCAAGTTGGTCCCCAACATTAGAGGCTAAAGCCGGTTTAAAATATCAACCACATAAGACATTTTCCTCTGTTTTAAAATAATAGCAAAAACATGTTTGACAGTGAGTACCCTTTCATACACATGGTGTGACAATACCTCTGCACCCAGGAACAAACAGCCACTCATAAAACAAAAGGTAGAAAATACTAGCTGACTGCTAATTTTATAATTCCTAAACTATAACTCCTAAATAATACCAGAATTTGCTAAAAACTGTAATCTTCATATTAAAATATCCCCACATTTTAAAGTTATTGAATGCAGTTGTTTCTGTTCTTTTGTAGAACTTTGAGGTTTTCTCAGAAAATACATAGTACAACACAAATAAAATGTATATATTATTTATCAAATAAATGGCATATATTATTATTTATCAAATAAATAGGCGAAAAAGGAACAAAATTCTGACTGGTGCATCTCTAAGAAGCATTAACTAGCACAGAAGCCACATAACAATCAGTAGTTCTGCCTACCTGTAAGTATATCAGAGTCCAGACTATGGAGCTCAGGTTAAAAAGAGATTTGTCCTAGTCTTTGGAGGTTGTGGCCCATTCCAGGAGAGCCGGCTGGACAGGCAGAAGGACAGATGCTGGACAGGCCTAACAAAACAAATCAGAAAAGAAGACATGGAATCAAAGTCAGACGACAGACTGATTGTAACTTCAACAAAATGATAAATTGATTTTTTTCAATCTTATACAATTAATTACTAATTAATTAGTAAAGGAAATTGATCATTTTCTCCCCCATCTACATCATCTGGAAATCTTAAAAATACAAAGATACATCTCCACAGTCTTTAACAGGAATGTAAACATGTTCGCAATAAATATAACACCCACATACTCTCAACCACATAAGGTTATTGGGCTAAAACAGACTATAAACAAAGCATCAAAACGCCACACAGCAGGACAACACACAAGTTCACATTTCTAATGTCTTATATCTCACAAATCCAAGAGTAATAATACTCTTGGAATCAGTAAAATAAAAAGATTTTACCACGTCCAATGCACTCAACAGAACAAAACCTCTCAGACAATTCTTTCAGTGGTTTTAAGACGTGAACCACTGCAAACATAGACTTCTTGTCCGTGCACTAATCAAATTTTAACCAAACCTGTTTACCGGTATGCATGTTCTCAATCTGACCTGAAGCGAAAAACATGTACTTTACGTTAATTACCTACACCTAAACGGATCATCTCATTTCCATTTTCAACCCCGAGTCGAAGAATCAGTAGGATGATAACGCCGATATGTACAGAGGCAGCAGCAGTCACAAATGAAGACCATTACTTACACTTCGCTGCCGCTAACGCAGGAGGAAGAGCAGCCAGTCATGGCAAAGAGCTTATATTTCCTATTAGTTTTGCTACATATTTCCGACATCTAGTATACGGTGCTAATGACAGAGTAACTTGTAGTAAAGCTAAATGAACCCAGTCGGTTCAGTGAGAGTAAAACCGGCTCGGGCTAACAAGCTAGTGAAACCGACTACAGTATGCTAGCGTCTCCTAAATAAGGTAGAGGAAGAATGTCCAGTTAGCCGATATCTGAGAGCTATGGGGCTTCCAAGTTAAAACATTTAATCTAATTACGTTTTCTGTATGTATGTTAATATTACTATGCGATGACGCTACACCTGCATTTGTTAGAGCTGTGAAACATGATCTAATAATCCACAAAGTGATCAGACTGCAAAATATGTTTTGTGTTAGCCAGCCAACGATAGCCGGTTTTATGAAGGCTGCTGGCTAATCGTCTGTAAGGCAGCAAGTATACCTACCGACTGGCAGCTGGAAACGACAAATCTTGAGCATGTAGTTTATCCCGCCATTAGCCTTTGACCTTACCGGTACGAATCTGAAAATAATGTTATATTCCAGAAAGGAAAACAATGTGTTCAAAAGTGATTCTAGCAGGCGCGAAAAGGTAGATCTTCGGACTGTACTTTTCAAGATGGCGGTTCCGCCAACTTCGACGACCCCCTCCCCCACTACAGCTGCAACGTTTGTCAGTATGTCAACCAATACAGCGACACGATTGGCCACATTCCTCATCGCTCAAAGAAGGTCCCGAACTCTCATTGGACGTGAATCTTGTTGCTTCCGGGCGTCATTTTATAGCAGTATTTAGATTTGGTGGCCATGAAAATCGGTTTGTAAAGCTGCTGTTTTCTGAATAGCAGAAGTTATGAAAGAACAGAAGTAAAAAAAAATATTCTGCGCTTATTTCATCCTTGATGATCATTATTTGGAAAGGTTAGTTTTTATCTAAATAATGGCTCCGCCCATAGGTTTGTTTTGAAATTTCAAACTGCACACCAAAGCTTGTAGGTAAAATCCCCTTGTAAATGAAATAAACTTAAGCAATTTAAAGTCATTTCATTATATATATATATATATATATATATATATATATATATATATATATATATATAATATATATATATATATATATATATATATATATATATACCAGAGCAAAGACCCAAGGTGTAGGTTGTGCAAGGAGGCCCCTGAGACGGTCCAGCACATCACAGCAGGGTGCAAGATACTGGCAGGGAAAGCGTACATGGAGCGACATAACCAAGTGGCAGGCATAGTGTACAGAAACATCTGTGCAGAATATGGACTGGAAACCCCGAGATCAAAGTGGGAAACACCCCCAAAGGTGGTGGAGAACACCAGAGCTAAGATCCTGTGGGACTTCCAGATCCAGACAGACAAAATGGTAATGGCGAACCAACCAGACATTGTCGTAGTGGATAAAACATCAGAGGAAAGCCGTTGTGGTAGATGTAGCAATACCAAGCGATTGCAACATCAGGAAAAAGGAGCACGAGAAACTGGAGAAATACCAGGGCCTCAGGGAAGAACTGGAGAGGGCCTGGAAGGTGAAGACCACAGTGGTGCCTGTGGTCATCGGGGCCCGGGGCAGTAACCCCCAAACTGGAGCAGGCTACAACAGATCCCAGGAACAACATCAGACATCTCAGTCCAGAAATGTGCAGTCCTTGCACAGCCAAGATACTGCGCAGAACCCTCAAGCTCCCAGGCCTCTGGTAGAGGACCCGAGCTCAGAGGATAAGAACCACCCGTGGTGGGTGAGAAGGGAATTTTTTATTTTTTTTATATATATATATATCAGTGTAAAAAATAAAGGGAACACTCAAATAACACATCCTAGATCTGAATGAATGAAATAAATATGAAAATAATTTCCACCCGCTGTCTATTCCATTTGCACAACAGCAGGTGATATTGATTGTCAATCAGTGTTGCTTTCTAAGTCCGGTGATTTCACAGAAGTTTAATTTACTTGTAGTTTTATTGTGTTGTTTGAGTGTTCCCTTTATTTTTTTTTAGCAGTATATATATACTGCTCTCTCTTTCTCTCTCTCTCTCTCTCTCTCTCTCTCTCTCTCTCTCTCTCTCTCTCTCTCTCTCTCTATATATATATTATATATATATATATATATATATATATATATACATATATATATATATATACACTTATTGCAAGTTACACAATTATGTTTATTTGTTCCGCTTATCCGGGTTGGCTCAAGGGGGTAGCACCTCAAGAAGGGAGGCTCAGACTTCCCTCTCCCCAGCCATTTATTCCAGGTCCTCCAGGGGAATCCCAAGGCGTTCCCTGGTCAGCTGAGAAATATAGTCCCTTCAGCGTGTCCTGGTTATTTCCCTGGGCCTCTTCCCGGTGGGACAGGCCGGAACACCTCACCAGGGAGGCGTCCAGGAGGCATCCTGAACTGGCTCCTCTCGATGTGGAGGAGCAGCTGCTCTCTGTGGTAGAGCGCAGACACTCTACGGAGAAAATCCATTTTGGCCGCTTGTATACATGATCTCGTAAGAAACTCACGACCACAGATTAGGGTAGGAACGTAGATCGACCGGTAAATCGAGAGCTTCGCATTTTGACTCAGTTATCTTTCACTCGACGGACCGGTACAGCGCCGCTTCACTGCAGACGCTGCACCAATCCGCCTGTCGGTCTCCCGCTCCTTTCTTCCCTCATTCGTGAACAAGATCCTGAGATACTGAAACTCCTCCAGTTGGGACAGGACCCGCTGACCTTCATTTCAATTTTGAAATATATATTTTTTATTTGATATAAACATGTATATGTTTATATGATCAACATTTATATTTTCAATATTTAAATGAACCTGTTTTATATGTTCAGCATAAAATAATTTGGTCTGAGCGCTCTATTAACTAACGTTGAGTTTATGCTTTTATTTTGGTAACTTTCTTGTGAACGTACCTATGGTAACGGAACGCAGTACTACCTGCAAAGGTTAACCGCAATACACAGAAAAGGTTAACATCAAAACAGAACAAAATGATAGAAATCATCTTAAGTTAACTTCAGTCCACGAGAGAACAAGGTTAGTAACTGGAATTGATGTAATTAGTAACTTGAAGTATTTATGAAAAAATCTGTGCTTGCTTGAATTAGTGATAAAATTGTAATAGGTCATGCATAACGACGTATGAAAACGGCTCCAACTGCTGTTATTTTTCTTATCAAGCCCTTCATGTTGGTAGATGACTCGGATGGCTTTGATGAGAATCACGCATCAACTAAATGATTACTTTCTCAACATAAAGTACAAACTGACTTTTTACAAATCGACCAAGAAGAACGTAAATCTTAAAAAAAAATATTTGTAGAATTGAGTATTTTGAACATTTGACCCTTCTAATGCAAGTGTTTGTATTATTTTTTGTATTTGTATTTTTCAAAAATAGCCCATGTGCAAAAATAAATTTGCTTACTTGTTGGTGAAGTTGTTTGTGTTTAGTGAAAATTAAAAGAGATTGATATTTTTATATCAATTCATAGCGCATGAATATGGTGAAGTGATTGATATTTGATTTATGCATCTTTTTTATTTAAGGTGGATCATAAACTATTACTGAAATTGCCAGTTTTTTTTTTTTTTTTCCCAGGGACATTAAACGCAACACTTGACTTGAGCAAATCCAATTCCTTGTAATCGTCTCTGCTCGGCTCTGAGGGAAACGGGGGATACTGACATCATTCTGTCATTGGTCAGCAGTGACATCTTGTAGGGTGGAATATAACATCCAGCCTCACAGATCAAGCAAGACTGCATCTTCCTCTGACGGCGAGACCGGGACAAAACAGCGCGCGGCCGTTTCCCCATCACAATACCGTCATGGATTTACGTGTTATTATAGAGCAAATGGAGACGGGAGAACAAGACAAGGCGCTGGCAGTGTTACAGAGCTTCAATAAAGAGGTAAACACAAGTACAGCTGGTAGAAGGGCATCATCACCCAGCAGTATGTCAGGCCGTCTGCTTTTCTGTCTGTTCAGATGATCACGGCTTATTCATATCCAATGTTTGCTTGCTTGTTAGGGGCTTTTTGACTGGGCAGTTCCCTTTCCTTTCCCAACTCTGAGCTAGTTTCAAAAGTTCCACCAATAACAATTTCTGACCATCAAAGGAAATAAACCACAGCACATAAAATGAACTGTTATGTGATGTGTTTGCTTGGTTTGTAATCCTCTGGTTTGTTGTTGTTGTTGTTGTTTTTACATGAGATTGAAGGTTCAGGACCAATTTGTTCATCAGTCCCGTACTATCTTAATGGGCTTGTCCTCATAGATATTGTGCTATTATTTACCAATCAGTAAGACACAGGCCCTAGGATTGTTTTACAGTTGTTAATGAGGAGCTGAAGTATGCAGAGTACACAAATTTTACTCAAGTAATAGAGTACTTAAGTAGCCTACTTTTTACTTGTGTTAGTTAAAAGTATCTTACTTTTACTTTTATCAAAGAAAATGAAAAAGTCCAAAAAAAATTATTAAATTAAGAGTAAAAATGGTAAAAAGGATACTCAAGTACTATTGATCATTTAAAAATGATCTTATCAGACGATCCAAAATATAAAGTTAAGTCTAAATTTAGGTATTTCAAAGATCAAAATGGTTAATACAAATAACATAATTACAAAATAGCAAAATCAAACCAAAAAAACATTTTCCTAGTCAGTTTCTTTCAATATAAAACTTCTGAAACAATAACAATAATAAGGTATGTGTCTGGTGAATTTTTGGTTAAATTATGTTTGTTCTTAGTCAGTGAAGGTAGAGGACCCAGAAATTTTATTCAAGTGAAAGTAGCAACACTTCATAATAAAATTACTCATGTAAAAATAAAAACTACAGCATAAGAGAAGGTAATTTTATTTATATAGCACATTTACAGCAACAAGGCAATACAAGAAAATACTCTTAAACTAAACTTTTTCAAAAAGCATTAACAACAGTCACATTTGTGGGCTCTGTTGGCATGAAGAAGCATAACAGAGTAATATGATGAGTGGATTGTTTGTAGAACAAGCTGTTCCTATATGGAAAAAGATGCATTGCTTATAAAAATGAAAAAGAAAAAAAAAAACATAGAACACATGGAGCCAAAATGGAACAAAAATAACAGAAACAACAGGGAAGTAATGGGATGTGCAGCATTTAACAGGAGGAACCAGCAAGGGATGGAAGTAGGAGAAAGGTTTAGGATGAATGAGGGAACAAAAGACCAGGTTGCAGGTGTGAAGGGAGAGAGAGAAAGCAGAAGTCACACAGGGGGTGAGGGAGAGCATACAGGGGCCTGGAAAATAAATCTAATACTAAAGAATAACTAGATCTAAGAAACATTATTAAACTAAAATAACAAAGAATAACTAGAGACAAGAAACAAACTAAAATCTCTAAGAAGAACTGGACTAAGAATAGAACAAGACTGGTCTAATCAAAGAAAGAGAGTAAGGAATACAAAATAATAAACCTGAAAATAACTCAGGATCCTAACAGTATCATGCAATAGCCTGTTTCACTTGTTAAATCCCAGATTTGTGGTTTTCCTTTCTGAACTTCTTTTTAATTATTCCCTGCTCCTTATTCTAGACATTCCAGATTCTTTCA